CACTCACTCACTCACTCACTCACTCACACTCACTCACTCACTCACTCACTCACTCACTCACTCACTCACATACATGTACAGAAGAAGGCCACACAAAATACTCTTTCAAGCAAAATAGTCCAGTGTTCATTCTTAGGCTTCATGTTTGGTCTCTACCAAAGACTTAAATCTTGGTGTGTAGCTGCAGAAGACTCCCTTGTTATAACCACATACTCTCTGTGTCCATCTGTAGTTTGGTTCTGGTACGGTGCAGTAGTTTTAATTGTAAAACTCAAAAATTGGTCCTAGAGGTTTAATGTCTTGTAAGAAGAGAGGATAATGTTGAAATCATTTCATAGAGTGCATCACCTTACTACTTCTGCAAAATGTCCAAACTCCCACAACGCATGAAAACTAAACAAACTCATCAAACCTCCTCTTGTCAGAAACACAACTGAAATGTGGGACATAAAATACGGCCTTGAAAGCTGATGCAGCATGTAGAGTTCAGAAGTCCAAAATCTGACGGGGTTACCAGACGAATCAAGAATTAGGAAAGAAACATTTTATATTGTTGCCACTTCAGTATCGAGCAATTCAAATGAATTCAGATGAAACATTCAGGAAGTGAGAGAGACTAGTCCTCCTCCTGATCACTAGTTACAGATGAATGAAACTAGTTGTAAGGGTTGTGATCCATTCTCAGTGATTTTTATTTGTATTTACTTTATGCTTCCTAACACTCTGTTGTCTGTCCTCAGCTCAGTCATGCTCTGCGTTGGCTGCTGGCCCGGGCACCCCCTCCCTTCCCTTTCTCCTGTCAGACTCTTGTGCAGCTCGTGGAGGCCAGCTTGAGTCGAGAGTTTAGTCCCAGAGTTTTTGCCCAACGGCAGGAGCGTGCCGCAGCAGATCTGTCCCCTCAGGACCCGGCACCTGTCATCCAGCTATACAACGCCGTCCTGGCTCACATCGCTGACAAAGTGTCGTCTCAGGAGCTCAACAGACTCTCGTGGCCGCCCTGCGAGTTCTGCCTACCCGACACCCGAGACTTTGTCCCTCATCCGGGCTGGAACTCTACCCAGCACCTCAACTGGCTGCGTGAAGCCCTCCTCAGTCTGCAGCTACCAGAGTGGGAGACGCCGTCTGCTACAGGTCAGTGAATGTGACATCAAGCAAAGTGTTTGTAAATGGTCACATTTCACAGGAATGAAAAAAAAAACATCAGAACATCTCTAGTTTCTCCTCCACCTCCCTCCTCACTTTATTAATCGTCTCGTCTTCTCTCCAGACTCCTGGTCAGAGCTTTGTTCCTCCATCTATTGCTACGCTGCTCAGATCCCAGTCGCTCGCCGCAGTCAACCCCTCCTGATGTCACGACTGGAGAACCTTCTGGAAAGAGTCCGTCTAAAGGCTCACCATAGCCAAACCCCAGGGTCCAAGAAAACCATCAGCAACTGGGACAGCGGAGACGAGGACTCGTGTTCAGCCTTCAGACGGATTCCCTGGGACGACGTGCTGGTGATCTGCATTGACCACAAACTCAAAGACTGGCAGATCCCCGAACCTCCCGTCTGTGAGGGTGAGTACTCTCATGGGGAACATTTTCAAAGTATTTAAAAATCTGATTTAAACTAGTTTAAAAACAAGAGCCAATGGCCGTTCTACAACCCACAGAGGACGTGTGACCGTGTTAACTTGATTATTGGTGTGTTTTGTTGTTGAAGATGCTGTGACAGAGGATGGAGAGATCCTGGTTTACTTCCCCACAGAGTCTTTGAATGGTTTTAAACCCCCAGAGGAGTGGACTCAGACCCTCAGACAAACCCACAGAGAGAAGCACCAAGAGAAGGAAGGGTAAGTGAAATCCTCACTCAAAATCCATCGTGAGTGAGGAAGCTCACAGTAAAGAACATTTAAGATTTCCTTCATTGTTCAGATTACATCTTAAACATTTATCTTTTAAGTTCAGCCACGTTACAAACATCTGTTGACAAATAAAACAGCTAAACATCGAGTTCATGGCCAAACAAAGCTATGAAAGTGTTCATTTATGATTTTGTACAGTAGCTTTCAAATGTCACATTTCCTACTTTTTTTTTATCAGAAGTATAGAAAACTTGATGCTAAAGCCGCAACCAAAAGCTGCTACAAGCAGAAGAGAAAGACTGCTGATAACTGAGTGAGCTGTAGAGGGAGTGACGGATGTGAGCAGCATTTCAAAATAAAGCTTTGAATCAGAGAAATATAACTTTTTTTATTTTAAAAGTATAGAAAACATAATATTACAAATTTTAATATTACAGCCAGATCAAGAGGATTTCAGAGGCAGTCGTCCTGACATTCTCTGTAAATCTTCAGGAGTGCATACGTATGTGAACACGGCTATAAACCAGCATTGACTCCCTCATAATGTTACTCAAGTTCCACAGAGTCATATTACTGAAGGTGCTCTGAGTTTTCAAACAACAAATAATCAAGTTAAAGTGACATCATCATCACCCCGCTCAGGTTCATAGATTCAGCCCACCTCCTTCATTCACTTCTTTTTAAAAAAAAAAAATGTTCTCCCTCCTCCATCCTCAGAGCGAGTGCAGCCGCCTGTGCCACGCCCTCCGGTCCGTCCATCAGACAGAATCTGTTCCACAGTCAGCCGGAGCCTCTGGAGGCCCCGACAGCCCCACTGGACATCACACACACTCCCACATCACAAGATCTGCTGGCACACAGAGTCCGGCAGAGCTTTGAGCGGGAGCACGCGGCGAGCAGAAGGTACAGATACAGAAAAAAAAACTGTCATTTTTTTAACCACCAAACATTTCTAACACATATTCTGTGTCTACAGGAGCATGGAGCAGTTTCAGCGCTGGCTGGATGGCGATCCTGCCGATCACTTGTCCACGCCGCTCTTCATCCCGTCCTCCATTCTGTTGTCGATGCCAACAATCATAAAGCAGCCGCTCACAGCCAGGAGTCAAGACGCCGCTCTCACACAGGTATGACACGTTCTCCTCACCTCGCTCAGTTATTCTAAGAGAAGTTATATATTTTTTCCAAACAGCTGATAGAAGATAGAAACAGTTTAGAGTGTGTGTCACATGTTGTACATTAAAGATTCGATTTATCATTAGCATGCTATTTATCTGATCCTCAAGCTACACAATAGATTACACTTTGGTTTTATTCTAAACTAAGAAAACTCCTGATTTCATTTACGTGGCTACAGATGAAAAGAAACAGTGTTTTCTCCAAGTTGCCGCCCCAGATTTCTCTCATCATTTCTCTATTTTGGTCTGTCAGCAGCCGGAGCCTTTCGACGAGATGTCAGAGGAATCAGACTGGCCTGTATCCATGGCATGGCGAATGAAGGATCTAGAACGACAGATTTTGGCGAGCAAGGAGGAAGAAATGGCGTGCCAAATGACGCTGAGTGGTCTGCTGAGCATTGTTGATGACTGAGGAACTCTTAAAGGAAATATTTTGCAATGCAAATGTTTGAAAACCGTCGACAGACTTCCTGCTGCGAGTGACGACTTTTGTTTATTTGCTGAGCTCATGGCAGTGGATAACATGCAACCCGTTCATTAAAACAATGTGTCATTTTTTTAACTTGTATCTAGACTTTGGTTTGTAAATTAGAGTACCAAAATCAAGATTTTTATTCGTCTTTGAAGTTTGTTCCATTGATCATTTATACCTTCAGAATGTGTGTTAAATCAAATTCAGTGCCTATCATAAACAAAACAAGATGCTGATAACCACTTACTTTAAACTCTTCTTTAAAGCCATCTATCTTGTCTGTTTTTAACAAACTTTGAATTATTTGGATTTCTTTGAAGCGTCATCAAATCATAGGATTTCTGTGTTGTTTGAAATCATCTTTATACCGTTGATGAAATTGTGTTATAACCGACTCTTTAATAAAAGATATTTTTCATAAATACTACTTCTCATTTGGACCTGTTGTCCATCAGTTCATTAGAACCTGAAGAGACCTGGGGACGTCTTCAAGAAGCCTCCTACGTACTGAGAGTTGCTACTAGTGACAAAAATCGAAGAAAGTTATTCAAATCATGAATTTTATAAGAATTTCCCGTTTAAGTTTAGACTATATCTAAGTTATTCACAAGAGAGCTCCTAAGGTGACGAACTGTGAGGAGTAGTGAGGAGGACTTTTAACAGGATGAAGAGTTTCTCAAGCTGAGAAGAAAATAAAGAAATGTTCTCCAAACAATACATGAAGAAAAATATTTTGAATCATAGCTGGGTCGAACAGACAAAAATAATTTGTGCAGACATTTCAATCCATCTATGACGTTTTTCAGTGCAAAGTGTGACATGATGTTGAGTTTCTCTACATGTGTTGACCTCCACATGTGCATCCATTCACTGAGGAAAGACCCTTTACCTGCTGATGTAACGATCAGCATGTGAAGAAGTGGGCATGTGATTTTAAACATCTTGTAGACTATAAACTCTTAAAAGTACGTCTTACAAATTATCACACAGATGTCCATTTCATAGTGTTCATAATTACACAATGCCTGACTAGATTCTATGATTGGGCCCATTTGATTTCACTGTCCGCCTATTGGTGCATTCGTGTGGTGTGGTGTGTGGTGGAGAAATCGGACAAACGAGTTTCCATTATCGCACAGCCTCTTTTTATAGGGCTCTGCATTATCGCTCACTTCTTTCTAATTCAACCACGCCTCCTCACTTTGATAAAAAGTTTCTGTCTGTTCCTCGCACATAGTTGCTCTGAGAAAATCACGCCTAAGAAAACAATCTTTGCTTTTATTTAAAAAAAAAACATTAATCTCAAAAGCATCACTTTGCCTGACGCAGCATGTGTGTGATTTATTTCAAAGCATTTTTTTACAAACCACAAAGTCGGAAAACTAAATATCTGACATTCACAACACGTCTTTATCGCTGAAATGAAGTACAGACATGTCTCTTGGTATGTTTGTTGTTTTCACTTGGATTTTATTTACTGTCTGAAATACACAAAAACAAACTGCTCATTTCAAGTTTTTTAATCGTGAGACTACAAAGCTAGCAGATGGGCCACTAGCAAACCACGGGTGAATGTCAGGAGTTTTTTTTTCATTCCTCCATCAGTGGAAATCTTAGTTCATGTTGTGTGTTTGTGTTTAACCTCAGAAGTAAAACAGTTCCCTCTTAACAGCTGGTGGCTTTAATGCACAGTTACACACCCACACCCACACCCACCCACACCCACACACAAACACACACAACCTTTAATTACAAACAACATGGCGGTCTTCAGAAGTTCAGACTGCAAGAGAACGACTCCTTCATTTTGCATCTTTGGTCCATCACAATGTCTATGTGACTGTCCCTGAAATCTAAGACTTTAACTCACCATTTTACACGTATACAAAAATCATTCAACTTTAATAATATCAACAACTAATGAGACGAAGAAAAAAAAACAGGAGAGCAAAAGGTGAAACGAGCCCGTTGAAGATAAGAAAGTAGCACGGACCGAATGTGCAGATTTTGCATTGACAGTAGCAAACCTTCCTAAGGGGGCCCTATCTGACAGCACTTACTCTTGGTGCCATGCTAAGCTAAGCGTTGCATGCATTATTGCCGTGAAAACTAGTTGTCAATGAAAGTCAACAAATAAAAATGAGAAGAAATGATCTCTCTATAAGATAGAAAACAAGGAAGAAGCGTAATCGTCAGGACACTGGCAGACATGATGAAGATGAACGCTGGTTGGAGGGCCCCAACAGACTCTAGAATTGCCACTGATCATGCCTCATACTGTACATTTCTTACCACCATGGCTTTAATATCAAACACAAACAGGCACATTTATAATGAAGTCCTCACTACTGTGATAAATACATCTTTTATATTCCATTATTCAGGAAACACAGCGCTACAGAACCAAAAACCTCCACCTGGAATGTTACAGCACAACCTGATACCTGTTTGTTTAGGTAAATAAATAAACTTCTATTTGGCAATATACAAAACACTCTCAAACTTTGCTTCGGAATAAATCTGTGCAAAAGCCCGTTGTGACATCCATATATATTTATATTTTTTTTTTACAGTATTGGGAATTATTGCCCGTTCAGATGAGACCTTTATTTTCTTAGATTGTCCTTGAGCTGCTAAAATTGTTCTGTGCAAGAAATCAAAGCTAAGTGGTCACTAGATGCACAGTGATAAAGAAAACAGGTACATTTCTTCCTGCAGGTTTACAAAACTTAGACAAGAAATGTTGTTGCCAACACAGACAGAAAAAGCAGATAACTTTCTAAACAGTCTCTATACTTTAAACCCTTCTTTGTCAGGTTCAGGAACCCCCCCCCCCAAAAAATGTAACTTAAGACAAAAATAAAGAAAACGACTCGCCTTTATCCCAAATGCAACAATTTATACAACATAGATGAGTGTTACACTTTAAAAAGTCTCTGTGAATAAATACAATCTGCTGCTATTGCAAGAATTTCCACTGAAAAATACATTCGGAGTACAATTTTGAAAGACCTCACAGGAAATGTGAAGCTTCAATAAACCTGCCGATGACCTTGCAACATTCAGAGAAGTGTGTTTGAGAAGAGACGCATGTGTGAGGAGATCACACAGGCCCATGAACTGCAGCTTAGCCTGTGGAATACATACATATATATATACATATATATACATTTACACAATCAGAGACACATTATGAAGCTTATAGGATAACATCCACACACCTCACCAACACACAAAACTAACAGAGTGTCCAATATATAACCAGGCAGAGAAAAACAAAAACTAGAACGTAACTAAACTAACACTCTTTGATGTGGTCTAAATCCTGTGTTACCACATGTCATGTGATGTGCCGCCCCCACAGATTACATGAGTTATCTACTGTAAACATTGCATTACAGATATGTAGATAGTGTTATACTTGTTTCAACAAATGAGGCTTCACTCAGACGTTACAACAGAGGAGAAGAAGACACCATGAAGCAGATGTACAGCCGCAAAGCAAAGCAACACCAGATGGAAAAAAAAAAAAATCCTCCCACGTATCAGAGAGTTTGCTCGTGTATGTATAGATCAGTTCGGGGGAAGCTCACTGGGCCGCTGCAGGAGAGAAACATAAAAGTATTGCAGAGGTGCAGCAGGTCTACAGCAGACTGTCCAGGCTCTTCCCAGCGCTCTCCTTTTCATCGGCTTCAGTAGGCGCGTCCTGTTTGGACTGGTACTCCTGCAGGACGGCGACCACGTCGTGGTGGCCGAACTGAACCGCTTCCTCTATCGGCGTGTTCCCCCATCTGTGCAAAGAAAATACATCTCAAATACTAGAAATACGCAAACCTAACATGTTTAACTTTAAGATCATTGATGTTTCCCAGGTCAACATTTAACAGGACAGGGTGCATCACAATTTTTTTAGAGACGGGACATGATATTTAACACAACCTTTATCTCTCTGTATTTCTTTACAAAGCATGTGATTGTTTTTAGACTATTCTCTCACAGCAGAATAAACATGAAAACAAGGAGGAAAGTGTCACAGAAGGCACGTTAAAGTAAAAATACAGAAATTAATTTAGGGTTCAAATACATAGAAATGAAAGTCCTGTGCATGCACACATTACTTCACAACTAAACTACTGTGGATGCAAAGGCTGCACTACAATCACTTTAATGCCATAATGTAGCAAAAAGATATTCTATTATTGTCTGGACTGGAGAAACTGAAACATAAGACAAAGAAGAAGAAATAACACCTGTGAGGAAACGTGTGTACAGAGGTGTAGAGGTGCATAAAGAAGTCTGTATACTCTTAATTTTTTTTTTTTTTCAAAGTGGCCCGTCCAGCAGAGGATAAACAGCCTCTGTTATAACTCCTCTTGCATATTTGGTCAGAGTGTACTTGTGAGGGCACTCACGCTGGGTCTTTTTCAAACCGGCCACTACACCCTCTCCCTACCCACTACCCCTCCGTTTGCACGTCCTCGTGGAGGGTTCGCCATATTAAGTCCGTCCCAAACCAATTAGCGGGAGTGGTAGTGGGTTATAAAACCCTCCACCAGCAAGTCTGCACCGATGCCGACTTTCAGATCACGTGCAACGCCTATTGTGTCCGGTCGTCATGGATGAAGCAACCTGTGAGTTCAAACACTGCTCCAACTAAGATAGACATTTAATATCGTCATACAGACGTTAACAACTTCAAATGTGTATTGAGGATCAAATATATGTTTATTTATTGTAAAGTGTTTTATATTTACAGGGAATATGGCGGACCCTCCGCGAGGACGGGCAAACGGAGGGGTAGTGGGTAGGGAGAGGGTGTAGTGGCCGGTTTGAACTGCGGTTTCCTGAGTTGTTTGATTGTATCTAAAAACACCAACTAAGAACTTTGAGTATTAGATTTCCATTGCCTGTCTCCCAGTGTATAATTTGGGGTGCTGGATAGTTTTGTTGCAACTCCAGTCTTTTGTGTTATCAAAGGTCTCCCGGCCAGCCTTTGGTTTTTGTTTCATGTTTTCTGGGTGTCCTTGGCAGCAGTGGTTTAGTTAATCATTTTCAGTGTGTTATTTAGATTAGGAAGTCTGTTGTGGCTCTATACAGTTTTGTTGTTTTTTCCCCCTTCCAATCTATCTATCTATCTATCTATCTATCGCGATTTTGTGGTTATCCTTCTGGGATAACTTTGAGACACCCCTGGGTCCCCATCTGCGTCCCAATCTCCCCCCCTTCCTGACAGAACTAGCCAATTAGAAACAGAGTACGAAGGGTCATCCCTTCACCATCCAAGGAAAACAAATTGCAGCATACTACTGAATATTTTCAATCAATCAATGGTGTGAATCAGAGAGGATTCAGCAGTGTGTATACCCTTTTGAGATGGAAACATAAGTAGGAATACTCCGTGTTCTCTGCACTGCACCACTGCTGCTTGAGTCATTGTTCATGAATCTAGACTCACCTGTCTCTGGGGACGGGGTTCACCTTGCAGGCCTCCAGGAGGAAGCGCACCACCTCAGTGTGTCCTGAAAGCACAAACAACTTACTGAGTGAAAAAGGATAACTATTTAAATATAACTTAATAAGATAGATATATACTCCTACTCCCCTCTATACTTCATGTACCTAATGACCACTAACATGTTGAAAATAAAAGTATGTGGACAGGTGGCAGATGGCCTAGTGGTTAGGCCCATTCATAGTATCTATTATAGCTTGATTATTCATTTTAATTTATTTGACCTCCTGCACAGCACTTTATTTGACTTAATGCACTTTTCTGTGCTGTGTGTCTGAACTGTTTCCGTCTCTGGCTCAGGGTCGTTGTGATCCTTTGTGTATCTTCTGTGTCTTGATGACTGCTTCAGATCTCATTTCCTACAGTTACAGTTGAGTTATGGAGGCTCTGGTCCTCCAGCTCGGGCTCCAGTCCCACCTGCGGCTCCTTTTTTTGCATGTCACTCCCCACTCTCTCTATCTCCCGATTACCTACTCTATCCACTGTCCTATCACACAAATGCTAAAGAAAACTGAAATAAATCTTCCTTTCTGGACAGACGAGAATCAAACTAATTTCTGTCGTGGCTGCACAACTTCCTTCCTAGAGAAGCTTTCTAACTTTTAGGGCTGGCTTTGAATATGAGGACAATTCATTTGCAATGTAAATATCGTCAGGGAGCTTCAAAGTTGTGGCACAGACATAAAAGCGTCCACTTTTCTAAACAGACAGATATACATGTCTATATATAACCATGTCTACAAGCAGCATCAGTGTTTAGTCTCAGTATAGTCTTGTAATAATAACATTGTCATGCACTGTATGAAAATAACAGAGATGAAGGAGTTAATGTAAGACTGCGTGTTACCTTCAGCTGATGCAACATGGAGAGCCGTCCTGGAGTCGTAGTCTCTCTGCTCCATGTCGACGGATGACAGAGCGAACCTGCACATTAAGTTGATTTAAGAGTCATTAACTGCAACCTTTAAAACATAAAACATTTTATTCTCAATTTTAACAGCTAAGAGTTGGACAAGAGAGACGCACCCTGGCACTTTAATATCAAACAAAGTCGAGTTTTCTATGATAATCAATTTAAAATTCTTGACTGCACAACTCTTTTTAAGGACCTGTGAAAGTATAGACCTTTAAGATGAAAATGGAGCTTTTTATTTATGTTAGTCGTCTTACACACGCTCAGAAGGATGAACCAGTGAACCCTGTTGACCTACAGGGGGCAGTAATACTCAAAGTCAGGCTGCATTTTACCAGCAAAGAAGAAGACTGCAAGCTTGTAAACATGAATGTGAACAATACTGGATTTAACACAAGTCTGTTTCATAGACTGTACAAGAAGTAATTACTTAATGTATATTGCTGAAGTGCATACATCCTGCAGTATTGCTAATGGCCACCAGGGGGGTAAATCCCACAATTTGTAAAAGAAGTCTAATAGACAACAACCCTGTTTCATTCTGAGTTGATGGTTAATGGTCTCAAACATTTGTTTAAATCCTTCTTCAATACAGAATGATGTTATTATTTTACAGTATGCTCCTATGTGAGGGCATAAAGAATAAAATAAGACATGAGTTTACAACAAAAACTCAATGGGAAAAGTACGGGAGAGGCGATTTGTGTCTCTTGATAGGATTATCGCCACATTTACATCTTTGTGAGCATCAGAAAATAAAGAATAACACAAACACACACAGGGAAAAAGCCAAACATCGACGATATGTGTTAGTAAAAGTAAAGAAGAGACGTTGAGTGTGAGCCGCTCACCTCCTCATTGCTGACACGTCTCCTGTGTAGGCAGCAAACAGCAGGTTGATCACAGATTTGACCTGCAGACAGACACACACACAGAAAGAGAGAATATTTGCAGAGGGACCTCAGACTTGAACATTTCGCTTTAATTTTACATCAACACTGAGCGGAATTCAGTTTCAGCCCTTTGTTTTTATATCAACATCAGAGTGAAATATAAATACAATATTTAGACTGGAGGGATACAATGTGATCATCCCAAGAAAAAACACAAAGCCAACATGTGTTAGTCAGTCTCTTAATACTGTCAGACTCGGTCTATCAAACAGTCCCAAACACGTTTGTTTCCACTGAAGACACCGTCTGAGGTTAAAGGTAATTTCCCAAAACAGCAGCACAGACACTGGTGTGTTTGGTCACGATAACTCAAACAGGAGAAAACATGTGTTTGCATTGTTTGGGACTATTTTCAGTTTCCTGCTTGCTACACATTTGGGTTTTTTTTTAAACTACAGCGTTGCAGCAGTTAAAGCATCACTATAAGTCTATAGACAACAATAGAGTTATAGCGCTAAGAGGGGAATGATACAATAAGGAGAAATTGTTAGTTGTTAGTTTTTGTTTTTTTTCATGGTGATGAAGTCAGACTTCTATGTTATACATGTATAATGTTTCAATTGTGAAACAGAATTCCTTCAGATGACAACCACACCACACACAACTATGTCTACCCAATTAGAACAAGACTCCAACACAGAGAAACACGGCTTATTATCACAAACACACAGAGAGCCCTGCATCAGTTCACACTTACCATCCAACAGCAATGAATCATTTCCTACAAGCAAAACTCTGAGCAGTTGAAAACAAAGAAACACTGGAGACGTGATGACATGAGGACAGATACTAACCTGTGTCTGACTAACTATACAGGCTGGTGTCCTGACGAATGCATTTACCAATGACAGTGTGACGCTATTCTACGGTTCGATATGCAAGGAAACACTAAATGTTTTCACCCAACAAGGGCAGACAAGCTAGGTTTAACGTTGGGGAAAAAAAAAAAAGCTGCAGTAACAAACCTGCATGTGAACAAAAATATGTATATATATGCAAAGCTCTTAGCATCCTTAGTAAGAAATATAAACACTTCAGTACTCGCAGCAAAACAAACACCCATCATGAAGTACTCAAGATTTAAAAGATATAAATGAGAACAGTTCTAAGTGTTACTCGTTACTCTCTGCTCTTTAAAAGATTTATAATAGAGGTTTGAAAGGTGTCATTTTTAAAGAGACAAAAACATGTTGACGTCTTGTTGATGAAACTGCAAAATACTGCAAAACTGGAAGAGTTTGTCGTTTGCCGTGTTATGTAACATGACGGGTGAGAATGAGCGATCTGTTCGGTGCATAAACAACCCGACATTCCCTGAAGACTTTCACAATAAACTCTCATTCAATCGAGGATATAAGTTTTAATGTTTTGTGATCTGTGATTTTTCCACGACAAAGCTTTTTTTTTTTTTTTTTTTTGTAAAAATGTATGCAGAAGGCTCCTCTTCTAACTATGTATGTCTGTGATGTTTTAGGCAAACAGAACACAATCAGTCAGTTTGGAAACATTGAGACAGGGCACCAGTAGCCTAGTAGTTAGTGTGCGCACGGGATTGAATCTGACCTGTGGCTTCTTTCCTGCATGTCATTGACCCACAATCTCTCCCTGATTTTTGACTCTGCCCACTATCTAAAATAAAGACATTAAAAAGCCCAAAAAAACAAACAAAAAAAAACAGTGATGGGGACAGAGAAATCCGTTAACATTGCTTTATTTAATTTTCAAACAAGGGACACATGCTTAAAAAAATTACACCACTTTCACTGTCATGTCTGCCCTGAACTATTTGCTGTGAACAGTGAAGGAAGAGCAGGTCACACCTGTTTCCTCCAGGCAGACAGGAGGACAAATCATGAGAGTTATGGAGATGTTTACATACAGAACAACAATCGAGTGACTGAAAAGAAAACAGAGAAAAAGCCATGACCTTGGAACTGTGTGACTTCATCCCGTGTGGCTGTGTTTGGGAACATTTTGAATTAAAGCATTTGGGATTAAACAACCCATAAAACTAATCTTTTCTTAAAACTTTTTAATTTGACTTCAACTCCAGAGAATAATCTTCTCAGATTTTAAATATTTGTTTCTAAATTCAAATCCAGTTTCATGGCAAAGACATCCAATTCCAAGATCACCACATCGCAATGGGAGTGATAATAAATGATGAATTTATATTCAATTTTAAAATATTCAGAGTAAAATGTGTTTAAGACACACATCAACAAATATAATGACATGTGGAAGGGGAGTTTACAACATCATGATTACATGGAATCGACAACATGTTCATGAAATCATACAAAAATAAAACATGCAAGAGGGAGGAGGAAAATTCTTAAAGCAACAAAAAAAAAAAAAGAGCATTATGAAACATTACATAACCCCTAAGAACCTGGTAACAGCATTCAAAAGCCCCGCAGTATACGTTTGATTGAACAGAGTAAGTGCTAATTACAAAACTTCAAGTAGTATAGATCATTCACCCTGATACAAAGAGCCATTACGCTGATTATTCATCAGATCAGATAATCGACCCTGATTGGTCACAGTGTGGATCTGGTCCAGTCTTAAAAACATGCAGTAACTTTAGTTCATGTTTTTTGATGCCTGTGAGGGAGGAATGATGTCAGAGCAGCAAACACAACGCTTGCACATGGTCAGAAATGAAAGAGTGATTCACTCGAGGTTCAGAGAAAGTTTCTGATCTGGAAAAGTAAGGATGAGACCAGACCTGAGAGGAGAGCAACTCGTTTAAACTATCAAGTATCTGAATCAAGTATTTGCCTCCATGAGTCACTTAGAGGAATATATCATCACTGCTCTGATGGATCCCCATCCTGAGCAACAATCGACCACATTTAGGATCTTCTGTGTTTCTACATTTGAAGGTATAATCCTGAATCCACCTTTGGTTACAGGTGGTTCCTGTTCCTCTGCATTACATCACTTTGTGAACTACTTTTTTGCAGAGGCCACCCCATTCCTTTTTAACAGTCTGTGTGAGTTTAATAGCAAACATAAGTTCACCAAAATGCCTCAGAAAGCTTCTTTATAAAGTTTGAGGGCTCAGTTAGGAGATTTAGAAATAATTTGTGTGAGTCTCCAAATGCAGCCAAAAACTCTGCTGAAGCTGCTGCTGCAAGAACAGTCATGTTTATATTTAAAAGTTTGGGTTCAAAATGTAAGTCAAGGCTCTGGTCCTTTCTTATTCTCCTTCATTAAAAAGGAGTCTTGAAATTCCTCGAGCACAAATCAAGCAAAGGTATGGGTGACTCCACAACTGGCAATGCCAACTTTAAAATAGAGGCAGCTGATGATTTCAAATACATCTGACGATCGTAGCAGATTATTGTGGATATTATTGTGTGTCTGGAATTTTATATTAATGACAATCTTAAGGATTATAACTTCAAAAAGCAGAAGCACTGTCTGAGGCTGATGCTCGTCTCTTTCTAAGAAAGTCGACTGAAACACGGTCAGCAGAAAGCACAGAGATCCAGCAGGTCCAAATCAGCTTGTTTTAAACTTTAGAAAAGACTGAAGGAGCGCTGAGGAGATGGGTTTATTCTACAAACCAACATTCATGATGACAGAGGCTTTTGAATACGTCGTACCTCCACACAATAATGAAAAGAAACTTAAAAAAAATATATGATAAAACACACTAAGAACAGTCCATGAAATAAAAAAAATAAAGACGAGAGAAATACCTTTACATGACATGACAAATGAATAACGGAATATTATTGGCTTAGCAGCCGTCACATTGAGCTCATGTCAAACCCGGTGCCCACACCCCACATGGCTCATACAGTCTTAGACATGATTAAATAACACAGAGATTCACTACAGGCGCAGGAGAGTGACATCTAAGGCATCAGCTGACTTCACAGTCATGTGCAACGTTTCTAGTTCTTGGAGGAGACGATATCATGAACGGGAACGTCTGAAGGGAAATATTCAACACCCTCTGCTGTGCTGCTGCTGAGGATTATCACCCACATCCAGACACACAGCGCAACGCTATATACACCTGCCTATGTACATTTAGAAGAACAGTTAAATATGTATATGGATACAACATCACCGAGGGAGTAACACTGAGAACTTTACACACAATACTGAATCATATGGGTGTTTGCATACTGTAGCATCAGTAGACTAGAGGTATCTTACTTCGAAAATTACATTCGAAAACACATTTTATTCTGCAGCATCGACGATATAGAAATGAATAAAAGAATGCACCTTCCTCTGCGGCCAGAGCTGGATGTGTCACTGACTTTAGTGATAGATTTATTTAAAGAATCAAAGCTTTCTTTTTCCTAAAAGGTTAAACGCTGTTTATTTTTATTTTTTTTAAGCGAAGTAGTAATGTTTTTGTGTTTCATATTAAGCTTCCCAACTTTATTTGTCTGAATGAGAAAAAAACAACATAAACATTTTGACCTCTTTAAGTCTCGATGAAGATAAAAATATATTGTTTTGTTTTTTTAGTCCAATAACATGTTGTGAGGTTTGATACTGTGCCATACTATCAGTTGTTTTCTTCGTTTAATGCGTCATCCTGCCGTCGGCCTTGGAGCAGAATTATTTACAGATAGAATACTCTACAGGATTGGATGTAATCAAAGGATGCACCAACATGGTCCTGACTCCTACTTTTAGTCAGGACTTATTCAGTCAAACACCCAGCTCTACCTGCTCTCTGCATCCTCTAAAGCTTTAAACCATTCCTTATATCTATCAGAACTTCAAAGCACATGTACAAAGCTCTGCTTCATTTCTAGACATCTTATTTGAACTAGAGATGGTAAACATACAGCAATGTTTTTTGGAATGCAGCCCAGTCGACCCCGCAGATTAAAGCCTGCAGACGTCACCTGTTCACAGCTGACAAGTCAATGAGTGTGTGAGGACTGGTCCAACCATACCGACCGAGAGGGGCTTCACCTGACGGTTACAGGTATGAACGCACACTATCCCTCGCTGACGTCGTACAGAGTATATTTGCTAAGCTAGATGGCATAACAAGCCCCCCTGACACACACACACACACACACACACACACACACACACCTTTTCCAATCTGAATTCAACAGCAGCTCAGAGTGATGAAACATAGACAAACAGAGCCTCAAGGTAAGCCTGTTTTCTGTATTCTCAACTCTCTTTTGAACATTTCAGAATAGCAAACCTTTTATCAACACATCATCATTCCTTCAGAAAAAAAAATGTGCACCAGCTGTGATCCAGGCACGAATACTGACAGTTTAAAGTTTGAGCTGTAGTTCTGTTTAATGAGCAGTCTGTGTTGAAGTCAGCATAGCGCAAAATGATTCTCAGCCTTCACTCTGAATAAAGGTCCAAAAGTTCTCACGACTACAGTTAAAGTCTGTTTTTGCAGGTACAGAGAAGGCACTACTGATACTTTATTCAAGTGTTTATTGACTGTTCACACTGACAGTCAAAGATAGGGCTGCATGGAATGGAATACAAATCATATTCAAATTATTTTGAGGGATGTAATAAGGCAATATTCCAGTGGGAATGATCTTCTTGCATCACTTTGTTTGGGCCAGTGCCAAACAAACAATTTACCTGAATCTAAAGAACAAGACCTGTAGGCCGGGGTGTCTCTGCAGCACTGTTTGGTGCACATTCGACTTCTATGAAAATGATTGCAGCTTAAGTGATTTAGATATTTCACTTCGCCCTATAATTTCTAGAATATCTGCAGTAATCGTGCAGCACAAAAATCACAAACACCCTTTAAAATCTCCAGCAACTCATGTTGCATGCAAAGTGCCTTCAAGAGGAGGTTCCCACTCAGCTCAAATTATAATGATCTGCCTTTTCCTACCACAGACATCTCTAGGAGAGTGTACAGTCTGTCAGAGCTTAAAAACCTACAGAAAGATTGCACAGGTGCATTAAAAAATGTCCTACTTTTACATAAAAAAGCAATAAAAAAGGTTCAAAAGCTAAAAGTTTCAAACCAGCCCATTGTTTTCAGACTCAGAAGGCTGAGAAGCTTCACACTATCATGATGTCAACTTCTATAAATGTTCGGTTTTAGGTTTGAACTAAGATTGAAAAAGCAAACTACTACTACATTATTAAAATCCCTTCAGAAGACACAGCTCTTGTTTTTAAATTAGAAACTAGGTCTGTTTGACGTAACACTGCTGCACTCCAGCCTAGTTATTCACAGCTAACTCGTGTCAACAACATTCTCCTTCGACTCCCCTCCTTTTCAACAAAAATGTAAATACTGCCATTTCCATGCTCTGTTCTGATGCATGTATCCTGTTTATCCATGTATCATGTGTCATGTGCTAACGTCACAGGCGTCTGAGGCTTTAATGTGAGCTACAGTAAGTAATCATCTCTGATAAGGAGTCTGAATGTACTTTTAAAGACTGTGATTCTAAGAAGTGGCTCAACAGAGGATCCAATCATACAAACACATTCATGCTGTTTTCATGGTTGTTACTTAAAATGCAATTAAATATCAAATCAACTCTTAGCTTTTTAGAGGATTCTGCACTAAAGGTGGGTATAAAGAAACCATAGCAGCACCTCTACGCTGAACACCAAATCCTGCACAAAGTAAAGCAACAAACAGAACGAGGCTACGAGCTCATTTGGATATCAGATTAAAAAAAAAAAAGAAGAAAAAAAAAAGCTGTAGATATTTCCGTCACAAATAAAAACAGAAGTTTCCCAGTCCATCCGAACAGTAACACTCACACTCCATAAACAATAAATAATCCTCTTCATAATTTCTGTATAAATATTTGAGGGTGAGGGAAGCTGATGGTGGTGTTTTGAGGGGGGTGGGGAGAGAGATCAGTTGAGGTGGAAGTGAGGGCAGGGGGGGGTACAGGTAGGTCTCCTCCTAATATTTCACTTGGCGACAGTGTCCATCCTATAGACTACAGTGGTGGAGCAGTCCTGGTGCGACTCAGTGGAGGACACCTTTTTCCAAAGAGGGGCTTTCAGAGCTAGCTCTTGTTGGAGACTCTCATAATCCATGGGTCCGAAGGTTTGCAGCTGTTTCAATCGACACGAATAACAAATTAGTCTTGCTCCTTCTGTGTGTGTCAGTGTGTGAGTGTTTGTGGATGTGCAAGTGTGGCTGTGTTCAGACCAAAAGCAAATATTATTTTCCTCAGGTTGCTCAGTGCGTGACTGTTTGCATTTGTTACAATATCCATCCTCCTGGCACCATCACAGAATAAAGCTGTGGAGCACTTCGTTCATCCGTTTCCTGTGAGTTGCAGTTTCACAAACAAGCCAACCCTCAGCTAATCCTGAGATTTATCCCAATTAACTGGAGGGGAGGATGCTGAGATAGTGGCAGAATGATGCATATTTTTTTAAGATGTAAAAATTCTTGCTTTGTTCATGTCTGTCTGCAAGAAAAGACCTGCAACAGCTTCAATGTGAACTTGTTTTTAATGGACCATTTCTGATGCAACATTGGGATGTGAGGAGATTTTCAATACAATGGAAATCAAGCTTAAAGCATAAAATTGCATCTGTATGCCGCCTTCTATTCCCTTATCGTTTGGTCTGAACTCCATAAAATGTTTTTTTTTTTTTTGCATATCAGTTAAGTTCATTTGGCTTCTCTTTGCTTCTTATTCAGCGTACAAAGTAAACAATATTCACACTCATAAAAGAGATCAAACAAGAAGAAAGAAACTGACAGTGCATAAAAAAAATAGTGGTAGAAAGAATTAACACAAACAATCCAAAATATATGTTTTTGCTTTAGACGTAGTGTATGTGCAGGATGATCAAACAGCTAGAAAACAGCGTCTGGAGAATTCTAAGAGCGGCTCAGTTTGAACTCAGTAACCTCAGCATCGCCCACATTCAGTGAGAGAAGGTGTCATGGTCAGTGTGTCTGATGAGGGTGCTGTTTTGGATGGTTGTGTTGTCACAACATGATGTCATGTGTCCTTACCCTCTGGTCCCCTCCTTCTCTGCGGGGGTCGTGCTTCTTGGCAAAGTGCCTCAGGTTGTCATAGTTGTGGAAGTTGAAATGCTCCACCAGATCCTGAAATGAAAAAGGTGGTCAGATGAATACATCAGAAGAATACATTTACCCTGTACTATTCAATTTATTATTGTGATTATTATTAGAAGTCGAAAAGCCAATGATTTCAGCAGTAAACACATTTTTTGTAAAGCTCATGAGCTTTCCCTTTGAAGAGATGTGCAGAGATTCATGCACCCTGTCATACGGTCAGAGCTCGGTCTCCTGGTCTGGCCTCTAGGTAATCATTAATCAAGCATTACTGACTGATCACACAGAATCAGTCTGAGTAAAAGAGTGTTAGCCAAGCTGAACAGGCACCTCAAGGACACTGTTGCACAATGCCAGAGAGTTCACCTTGTTTTCATCGGACACTTGCGTGTTTATGATATTGTGTTTCCATTAGGAATGTCGGACAGCGTAAAGCAAGTCTAGATTTTAAGCGACCGGATTAGAAAGCAACTCAAATGCTAATATCTGATTGATAACTACACTTTAACCAGTATGGATAGAAACAATGCATTTTAAGATCTTAATGGAAGTTTTAACAAGGTTCCTGAGTCTAATTAGTACTCTGCTAAATGTCCCTGAAGTTGTTCGACATTTCTCTGTCAAATCATCTTAACAACAAAATAACTTCTCTGCTCTGGGATGTCTATAAAAGTATTATATTAAGAATTTTTGCACTAATTTCTAGCGTGCATGCATTGATCTATGACACCGGTCCTGCAGCCTACATACCGTGCAGAACTGTATTCCTCTGACTGAGTTGCCAAGCTTGTCCAGTGGAGGTGACCAGCACATAATACCCATCACGTTGGGTACAACCAGCAGGATCCCTCCTGCAACTCCAGACTTGGCTGGCAGACCAACCTACAACAGAGACAACAGACGGGTTACGTAACAGAGGATCAGCTGGGTGGATCTGCAGTAAAAGCATGGCAACAACACAGGGCTGGAAATTCAGCAAAGAGACTTCTTCAGTGTTCATTATTAGAGAAATCCATCCAAGTCTGTCCTGTGATAAACTGAAGAATGACTGCAAAGTGTAGATGTAGGGATAACTTAGATTCTTCTCTTCAATGAGCATTTCCCTTTTTGTTATACATTTAACAAAAAAGCACATTATCAGGTTTCATACCAAGGTAAGGAAGTTTATTTATACAGCAACAAGGCAATTCAAAGTACCAGAGCCGTACTTCAGCCATACCAAATTGTGTTAACGGCTTCCATAATGCAAAAAAAATTACTCCATCAGTGGTGCTTTTGAAACTAACTGGACCATATGTGTTTATAACAAATAATTAAAATGCAGAAGATTATTTCACACATCCCACATTTCGCTGCATTTTTCTAATTAGAATCTGCGATTTACTCACAACAAACACCTCTGCTCTGACAAAACGACATGACAGAATACCATTAAGGTGCAGAGGCTTAGGTGTTTAGTCTCTTAATGAAAAGCATACATGATGCCACTTACATCTGTTTTTCAATATGGAGATTAATCCTTCCCTATATTTCTTATTATTCACATACTGGTCACAGAGGAAGAACCTCAATGGACCAGATAATCCTCAGACTTTGGTTCTTCTGCTTTCCTCGTAACATTTACATATAAACTACAATTCTATAATTCACTTAGCAGAGGCTTTTATCCAAAGCGACATACATCAGAGAGCAAGTACAACACAAGCAAAGATCTATAGGAGGAAACAACATCAGTGTGTCCAAACGAACAGCTTTATATCTGGCCTTTTTGTTTGTTTATATATAGTCATAAACAACAACATAGACTGCTGCTCTTGAGAGTTCTAATCAGCATCAAAACCCTCCTAAATATCATCATAATCAATATCATTAAGGTCGTAGGTGTTCATTAAGAGCTGGGTCTTCAGCTTTTTTTCTTCAGCTGCAAATGGACTCTGCAGATCGAATGGAGTTTGGAAGTTCATTCCACCACCGGGAGCGACAGAGGAGAAGAGTCTAGTTAGAGTCTTGTTGTGAAAGTTATTAGCTGTTGTTTTTAACCACCAAATGCTCAAAATTATCTGTGATTATTACCTGTGGGTTAATATCAAACTAATAATAAAAATAATTAATCAGTTTAACTGACATAATATTAAAAGAAAAGATGCAACTGGAGTCAAGGGATATCTAAATTAACGGCATACAAGTAAGTGTGGCCTTACAAAGCCACATGTAGCAGTGTGTAATCATAAATCAATCAACATCAATGCAGTCATTAGAAGCTGCTTCTTTCAACCTTGCATCAAAACGCTTCATCTGAAAGGGTTAACACGTGATAAGGTTCAGGGTGAGTCAGGTATGTAGCTCACGACTACGTCTTTGTGCTTTTTTATTTTCTAAATCGCATGAAGAGCTATTGCATCATTAAAACAACGTACAGCTAAAACAAGAGATGAATGCATAAACTGCCTCCCTCTTACTCTAGCATGGCTCGTGCTCGTCTTTCTGTGATCCTGTTTACTTACATGGAAAGCAAACTGTCCCGAGAAGTCGTACATGCCGCAGGAGTGCATCAGACTCAAGGTGTTCCTCACCGCCTCGGGGCTCAGCACGCGCTCACCCGTGATCGGGCAGATACCGCCGTTAGCCAAGGTGGCGGCCATGACACTGGCGCTCTCGCAGGTCACCTCGATGGAGCAAAGCTGGGGGGGTTCAAACAGAGGACAGTCTGTATCGTTTCTCCTTTCTGGCCACTCGGTGTAAATTCATTAAATTGCCACCCGACTGTTTCTATTGACAACGCTATTTAAAGCTTATAAAGAAGAAAACATGGCGAGGGAGCTTGACAGAAAGAGAAGGATATGCCGTTTAAGTTATGAAGAAGAAATCAGATCACTGACATTCCCAACATAGTAGGAAGAGCAGCAGAAAATGTGAAGGCAGAACATGTCATTAATGTTAAAGTAAGCGCTGATACCCGATACTGAGAAAGGAAATCAGAGCTACACTCACTTGAAAGTAGAAGTCCAGTATGGATGTCATGTCGGTCCCCTCTGGGAAACACTGCAGAGAAAAGAGAGTTCAGAACAAGCAGGGGTCAGAGATGAACATTTTATCATCTGCTGTACAGTTTCATGTTGCTACATTTTCAGAGAAGGAAGAGACCAGCACTTTTTTTTTTATGTCTACTAAGGAAGCTCTGCTTTTAATAAGTAGATGTTATAAAGTCTGCTTCTCTAGCAAATGTGAACTCCACCCATCCTCACAGTTAGTGCTTCTCACTTTTTCAGAGCAGGGAAACAAACAGAGACTCTGCAGAAAACAAAAGCAATTGTGTGTGTAAGGGTGTGTCTGTGTGTATGTGTGTGTGTGTGTTGTCACTGGTGTGATGAAATTCCTTCAGCCCGCCCCTCGTGCGTTCAGTACAATCTGATCTCTCCTGCTAACATGTGATGATTCTGCAACATGAGCCCCTCGTCTGCTCTTTTTCCACACACACACTGTTAGCATGTTGTGTCATCATATATCATGCACATGACGGTGACCTTTACAGCACAGATTCCGTCACCCAGCCCTAAGAAAGTTGGGCAACCTCAATCATACAAATAAATCCTGCATTTCCTTACTGCAGTTAAACTGGGGGAAAGGTCCCGTGTGTTTAAACACCAATTCACATCGCAATCTTTGGCAACCAGAGTAACCATAACATGAGATTTCTGCCAATGTGCTGATGATTTGGGTCACCCGCTGCTGCCAAAACCAGAATAACGCTTCCTTCTTCTTTACACAAAACTGCTTAGACCATCAAGAGTCCTTCAGTGTAATAAACATAGAATCATGCATGTTTTAATTGCATGGTCATAAAGAAATGCTTTTTAAAACATATATCCAATTACAAGGCATTAAAAGAAAACAAGTACAACTAAGCCAACATGTAAGATCATCTTTTTAAAAAAAAATCTTTGTTAACCTTTTTACTGGTCAGATGTAGTGAATGGTATAAGATAATCCGATGAGTCGTGAGCTTGAGGGGTACGAGCACAAAGCTAAAGTGTCATCTTATCAGCCGGTCATATTGACAGAGATATTCATTTTGTCTGACGCCTTGATTTAAGTTTAAAGCCTTGATTAGTTTAAAACCTTTAAGCCTTCTTTATCTTATAATCTAATAAAGATGTTCAGATGCTTCCCAGCGTAAAGAAAATAGTTTTACAGGTTTAATAGTTAGCAGACGTCAACGAGTGTAGCTGGTCCTCTGTTATTTGTGTGTGCTCCTCTGGTGAGTGAAACAAGAGATCTAGAAAACATAACTCATGATGCAGAGATACTTACGTGGCGTTGCTGAAACCCACATACTCGTGTCCGGCCATTTCTTTCAGAAAGTTCATGACCTGGAGGGAAAGCAAGTATTTTAAAGGAACAATATGAACGATAGGGTGCAAGGTTAAACTCTGTGAGAGGTAGTGGCCTGTCCATCGTAAACGTTTGGCTTAATAGCATTTCTAGGGTCACAATAGCAGTGTCACAATTCTATAATAACTTTAAAGTGTCATTGTATTTGGGCTGCAGGTAGCCTAGTGGTTAGTGCATGTGGCCCATGTGTGGGGGCTGTAGTCCTCCATTCAGGCGTCCCGGGTTCGGATCCAACCTGTGGCTCCTTCCTGTTGTTCCCCACTCGCTCTCTCTACCGATTTCTTACTCTATCCACTGTCCTCTCTTTAACAAAGGCATTCAATTCAAAGCCCAAAACTAAACATTTAAAAAAAAAGTGTCATTGTATGATGACTTTTTTATTTAAATGGTCAATTGACTTGAGCTTCTATAACGCTTATCTAGTCTTCTGACTTCTCAAAGCCCTTTTCACAACAGGTCACATCATCAGTATTAACTAATCCAATTCACACACATTTATACCCGTCGAAGCAGAGGAAGCAAATCGGGGTTAAGTGTCTTGCCAAGGACACATCGGACATGTGGCTGCAGGAGCGTACCGTACTCAGGTAGTGTGCCCGAGTCCGCTTGACCATGCTCAAACAAGGAAGTGGACCACTATACGACGAAATTCACTTCAAAAACTGTCCTATACGCGCAGCAGAAGTAGGAAGAGGCTGGTTGTTGGCGTCTCAGAAATAAACAGTCCATCCTGCTAACTGGGGATGTTTCTAAGTTTGCAAGTGGTTGCCATGGTTTCTACTTCTTCTTTCCGCTTCTTGGCAGATTGGCAAACCAACAATGTGCTACCAACTATTGTATCGGATGTATATGACTAATGTGACCGCAGACCAGGAGGGGATGGGGAGCTTTGTGCTCAGGCAGGGTAAGAAACAATTGTGCACAATGTGAAAGCCCTAAGATAATGTTCTACAAATACAAGATGTCGATCAAATATCACCCTCGCTAAGAACATGAAAGTGAACTGAGTAAGTTTGAGTCCAGGTCGGACTTGTTATACTTACATAGTCAAATTTCTCTGCGTTGCTTGCACCTTGCTGTGGAGATAGCAGGAAAAAGAAGAGGTTAGAACAGAGCATTACCTGAGACTCATTACAGAGGACAAGAACAGCATCAGAAAAGATCAAACTGAAATGATAACGCTACTGCTGAGGAATTAGAACTACAGAATTAGCAGATATGAAAGATTTGAGTACAATTAAGATGTAAAAAATTACATGAGCTCTGCCAGGAATTATACAAGAAGATACAAGATATTAATATGATTGGCTACCTATAGTAGGCACAGAGGGGGAAGTCGTTTTGAGTTAAAAAGGGAGATTTAGTAGACGTTATCTGAGCTTAGCCAGTAACTCAAAAATTTAAAATAATTCAACATTATTTCAAGTCTTAACAGTTTAATAAACATGTCTAAATGAAAGTAGCCCTGACTGTGTGTATGAGTCTACATTCAGTTTCTTTACAATATATGACTGCACATAGATGTGGGTGTATGCAGGTGAGTTTGTATTATGGGTTACCATAATGCAGGTGTGTGTGTGTGTGAAGGTGTGTGTCTGCTGCGTGTCAAGATGTGTCATCTGTGCTAAGAGCCTGTCAGACAAACAGAGGGGAGAGAGGGAAAAAGGGAGGAAAGGTCTTCCTCTGAGGATAAACTTCACAGCTTTTAGCTTTATGGATCATTGATGCTGCTTTTCCCACAAAAAATAAAAACACACAGCAGTAAAATGGACACACATGCATGCACTTTAAAAGTGCTATAGCATCAGTTAAGAATTACTGAACATTTATGCTTTGAATTCTTTAACTTTACATTTAAAAAGTTCTAATAAAAAAGGTAAGAGTATAAGTGACACAGATGGAGAGGTTAAAGAGTCACTAAATGGGTTTACTAGAGAGCTGATTGGAGGAGAAACAGAGAGAAAGGGGGGGGGGGGGGGGATCAGGGGGTCGGGAAAGTGCGAGGAGATAGATATGGAAAAGGAAGAAAAAATTACCAACGTCATTTGACCTGCAGCAGCAGTCATTATTTCCCACAGATCCTAAGTCTGGAAAATATGCAACAACATACAAAAAGAGCAACAACATGTAGCCTTCAAGCACCAGGTAACAACAGTTTTGGGCTTATTGCCACGGCAACCATCCCATAGTTTCCCCACCGATTGTAAAAGCAAACTGAGCAACCTGACTAAACGGCTTGACATTTGTGCTTCATAATAGAAAAAAATTCAAACAACACATTGAGGCACTGATGACAGTGATGGTAGATGTGAACACACACACACACACACACACACACAAACACACACACACATATTGTTGTCTTGGTGAATGTGATGAGTTAGATATTTGTCTAGTTATCTACCGTGTGACTTGGCATGTTTAGTGGGCAGTTTAACTGGTTTGTTCAGTGATGAAATGGAAACCATCACATGCGACTGCCCACATGCTACAATATGTGCGGTCTGCATCACAAATCAATACGAGAACAGCTATTATAAGGCTCCTGAGAGAAGAGGGAGGACATCTCTAGCCTTCCAGAAATAAATTATTTAAAGACATAGAGATCTCTATTGACTGACCTTTAGGGAAACATACAAGATTTCCTTCAGAGAGCAAGATCAGAAGATCAATATTGATCGTATTTATTAGCAAAAACAGAGTAAATAAGTCAGTTTAGCGCAGCACAGGGATTTGCAAATAAAGGAACTTGCTCTATTCTTAGCTCAACTAGAAATACCATCTTGTTGTTGTACCCCTCTGCCAATTTGTCACGCTGAACTTGACATCCATTTCTGTCTTCTGTTAAGAGACAGTGTAACTGTAGCGTGGGATAAGACGGGGCTCGCAACTTTTTTGGGGATTATTTTAGTAGTATAAGGCGGCCTGCATCAAATAGAAGAGCTGGCACAAGCGATTAAAAAAGGACAACATGTTAATCTCTCTTTCTCTTTATTTCTCTGAAGAGCATGCGGTCAAAATATTGTTAGTAGACCCTTGTAGAAAACAGAAGAATGAGCAGCTATGCAAGAGGGTGAGAGACTTTCCAGTAATTATCGTGGACGGAGTCGTTTTTATGCATCGATTAATTTGAAATACAAATATACCAGATGTGATTAAATCCCCTGTGGATATCACATTCTCTAAAATGAAGGGTCAGGACCATCAAAACCAAATCAACCGTTGAGTCCCTTTGGACCTTTGAGGCTAAATTTAGGACATTCTCTCTGTAGGATGTCTGGGATATCTTTTTTCACAGTAATGGAAAGGAGCAGCTTTTAAGTACGGACACAATATCAATCTTCTTATCGGACTTTCTGAGAGATTTAAAAAAAAAAAAAAGTGTATTTTCAGAATGACTTATTTTAGAAAGGCTATGACTCTCTGCTTTCTGTGACCTTTACTGAGTATTTGTGCAGTAACAATTTAACAGAATCAAATCTTAATTCATCATGATTCCAATTATGTTTGAAAACTGCAAGTTCACAAAATGTTTACATGTTAAAAGGACTTTAAATCCTGGGCTTTGTTTTGTTTTTTTACACTTTCAGAGTCAAGCAGATAAAAACATTAAGCTGTCTCAATGATAACATCTGATTTCTGGTTCATCATGCTAAAGAAAAATAAATCCAGCCGCCTCAGTTGATCAATCAAATGACAGATTTTACAAGACAGTAACTTTAACATTAATATTAATTATCTCTCAAGTTCTGCAAACAGTTTTTCTTATTGGCTGAAAATAATGTAAAAGCTTTTTTTCTTCCCATCGAGGCCCTGAACATCATGTCACCTCAACGTTATCATGAAGACTAAATATTTCTGTTAAATTACTCCTGGATCTCTTAGCCTACAATCATAAATCTGTCTGTGCAGCTGAGCAGAAAGGTAATTGGAAGCATATAGCTTAAAAATTAACTTCGGAGCCGATTTCAGAAACATGCGGCTGTAAAATAGTTTACGACTGTGATGGCTTCAGATGGGATTTTAGAAATGACACCAACTTGTTCACTTAATGAACTTTACAATCATCACAGAAGCTCGTGCACAGGTGAGACTACGGACTCCAGATTAGGCAACATCATGTTGACGCTGTAGGCAGTGATATGTTTAGAAATGTCAATGTGTCTGAATGATTCAGTGAGGTGATTATGAGCCAAGTGTGCTAACTTAAATAAGTTTAGTATTTACAAGGTAGTGATGATTCACAAAAGAAAGGAATGAGATTAAAGAAACTGTAGACACTGAAACCACAGGTGAGGCTTTTCACAGAGCTCCTCTGAAGTTCTTTTCTGTCTACTTCTAGTAAATATGAGGTTCATTTATAAGGCTCACATGCCTCGGATGCTTTGTCATACCTGGACGAGGTTTTTGTGATTGGTTTTATTAATCTGTGGATCTAGACTGCTTCCTCTCTTGTAAGAAAAGATTTGGTGATACATTTAGCTAACAACACCAAGATGCAGAACGAAGAAGGAAGTCGTCTCCAGAAGAAGCGACAGTTGAATATCAGATTGTGAAGTTGACGATTGTGTGACGATAATGTGAAAATGTTTAATGTCTTGTTGCTGTGGGAAACATCAGAGCTGCTACACGGTGTTCATAGATAGATGACGTTGTGTGAGTGTATGTGCTCGAGAGTGTGATTCACACACTGCTAACACTGATTGTGTAAAGAGAGAGAGCCAGAGAGGGATTCAAGGTAACTGTCTTATTTTTAAACCTAGGCTCTATTTTTACATATCCAATGGTCTAATTTGCTTAAAGGTGCACAAAGCTTTGGAAATGCTCCGGCTGTGCTGAATAGGGCTTTAAAGGCTTGAACCAAAACAACCTGCAGAGAAATGCCCCTTGATTCAATACATCTAATAAGCTATATATCAGATGTTTCTAATTGAAAAGGATCTAACCATTACAAAATGGTCTATCTATGCAGGAATCCTTTCTGTCTGACGTTGAGATAAACAGATCTTGTTATGATTACTCTGATGGGGTGCATTTGCTCTGAAGTTTACATTGCAGTCATTACAGTCCTTTACTTTTTTTTTTTTTTTTTTAAGTTTCTCTTAACCTGAAAGTTATTCAAACCTTTAATGTGTAGAAAAACAGGCCATGTTTGAAAATAAAGGAATTCCCCTTTAGAGAATGACTCTCAAAGTGAAACATGAGTTAGATTATTTAAAGTTGTGAAGAGGTGAAAATCTAACACTGCTGCTTTGTTTCTAAATTTTCACAAATGCAATTTATTCCACTTTGAATCGTCCATATGTTATACATGATCTTGGGATCTGTAGCTTGTTTGATCAGACCGATGACAGGCACTTTTTTAATAAGAAAAGGTGGCTTAATCAACCTTAACACTGAAGTTTCAAAAGAAACACTGTTCACAAAACTTTAGTGCCATGTTGGACGTGCTGTGGCAGGTTGGGCGAAATATCTGACTTCCTATCTATCACTCTCTCTCTCTCTCTCTCTCTCTCTGTGTGTGATCATCCTGAGGCTGGTCTGCGTGCAGTTGCATTTGACTAGCTCCCTGTGCAGGTTATTTTCAGCAGGGCCGATAACAGCGTGTGGTCTAAGTGCCCTCAGGAAGGATTAGCACAAGTCTTAATCACCACAACAAGACACATGGAAGTGGACTAAGGTAATGACCTAGAAAAATATTTCAGCTGAGTCAAGAGTCAGATGTGAACACAATAAGTCTAATGCCCACTCAATGAGGAATAGCACCACATCATGAAGATGACAAAAACGTGCTTAAAGAGTGGACAGGATTTTGTATATGTCATGTAAATGTTATTAGGCTGTTGTAACTTCTTATCTGGTATCAATACAAATATTTCATTCTTCCTGTTATTAACTTAAAAAGCAGCTCAGTGATACTGCCCTATGAAGAATTATCTGGCTAAAGTTTCAGTGGATACGAGACACACACGGGACATAAAAAAACACACACATGAGGGAGGAAAAGAATATTGCTGCTTTTACCTTTATCAGTGAAGTACAAACTATAGCGCCAGCATTCACCATGGGGTTGTGGGGCTTATCTGTAAAACAACAGGAGCACAGTTAGCGCGCTGAAGAGGATCAAAGTGTACATGTTAGCTCATATACTTCAGAGAGGGCTGCATACACACGATTAAACAGTCGAATACATGTAGAGCACATATAGACTCAAAACACAGGAGACCAACAACAGTAGTACAGTAACAGTGTCCACAAGGGAACTTTGATATAGTATGCATTGAATAGCAGCGTGTTGTTTTGTAAGAGACCCTTATCAATCTACCACAGTAAGGGGTACAGCGTTAAAAAGGGGCTGCTTTTGTGGCTGATGTTGTCTGAATCTCTGACTCAGATATTCAGCTGTTTATTCCATCCAGAGGATAGGGCTGAAGAAATGCAGGCACTGCACAAAGGCATGTCACCCTGGTATATACAGGTCCTGCTATGTAAATGTAGTACTTCCTGAGGAACATATTGCCTCATGGACCACAGAAACCTTGAATAGTGATTGTACATCACTGAAAAAGTACATGGAAATTCCCTATAATGTATAGTCTTGTTTGGAAAACATGATTTGTAACAGAGTATTTATTGTTAAGATCTTAGAATTATAGCATGCATCAAGCTTGGCAAGCTGACAATGTTTGATTGGAATATATTTGGTTGTTTGAACTTAACTTATCCACAGTAATGATTCACACATGTATAAAAAAGTGTGAGGGTAAATGTTGTGTTCACAAGCTGCTCTTCTTCTTTAAACATAATCAAAAACTGTTGAGGCAAAGGAAATTGTTTCAATTAAAGAAAACACTGTTTGGAAATCAAAGTTAAAATAAGGCAAAGTCTTCTTTATCATTTGTTAACTGGTGGAGACATGTGGCTCGTACATGTTAAACTCTCGTGATTATAGTTGCCTTATGTGTCCACAACATGTTCTTTGAAGTGAGCTACTTTAGTTCCCGTAATGCCCGATAGAGTCAACCACCGGGGTGAGAGGAAACTTTCCTCCCACAGATGTCTAAAAGTGTTCAAAGTACTTTTATTCTTAAATAACCTACATTCCCTCACTGGTGCGTGATCTCCTTACATAACACAGCGAGCACAGGGCTTTTCCTGGCAGTAGAGTCCCCACACAGGAAGTGACGACAAGCTGGCTGCAGTTTGAGCACCTCCCTCGGACGCATCGACCACAACTGTGATAACTATCACCCCGAATCTATCTTCACCATCTGTATTATGCTCCAACTACTTTTGCAGCATAAAAACCTCACACACACACTGTCTAACTTTAAAGTTACCACGTTTCTTTTACAAGGCTGTTAAACATCCTGTGATGCCAGCCTCTGACTCATTCACTTGGCAGCGCATGCAGTAACAGCTCTACACTCGGCTCTGCAGGCGGCTAAAGCCAGACAGTAGACCAGCACTGCTGAATAACTATCGGGGTAAACACAGTTATGACTGACAGTCCAACATGAATAGAGAGAACAGAGTCAGTCTGCAAAGCTATGGGGAACATGTAAAAAGAAACAAAGATAAAAAACAATCTTTCCATGTATTTTTTTGAAGTATTTTGTATACCTATAACCTAAATGCCCTCTAGTTTACAAGGTAAATAAGACAGCATTAGATAAGAAAATCAGTGGCTGATGTGGGAGAGGAAACTTTCTATAATTCAATACCTCTTTGTGCTCAGTGATTTCATTACAAAGTTATTTAGCAGAAAAAGGAAACACAAGCCCTATTCAGCCGTTTCAAGCCATGAGATTTTTGCCCTGAGTGTTTCGCCCCAAATCTGAATGTCGCGGAGATGTAATGTGGGAAGAAAGGGCTTTTAACTTCCAGAAGGTCAAAGCCCTCTGACATCAGGAGGGAGACTTTGCATATTCAAACTCTCATGAGGCCTCCACTGCGGCAGCTTAGGAGACATAGTGTATAATAGTCCACAGTGAGTCAGAGAAACAGGAATCATCAGCCATAACTGCTTTTGTATGCTGATATATTTATGAAGTATCTATGAAGGACTGTCTAAAAAAGCTTAAGAAAGTGGAGAAGAAAAAAAAAAAAAGAACGATCAGAAAGGCTCACCATCGTCATTCAGGAAGAGTTTATTAAAGCGCAGGCCACTGGGCTCCTTTCCAATGAAACTGTGGACGTACTCCGTGCCGTAGTCATGAACAGCCACTGCATACTTCAGTGGTTTGACGCAGGATTGCAAACAGAAGGGCACCTTGGTGTCTCCTACCGTGTGTCTGCAAAAAAAAAAAAGTTATAACATCAGAAGAAGCTGTACATCAAAACAAAGAAACTCAAACTGCCTTCATCATGAAAGAGATTCTAACTAAGCAGATTTGTGTGTTCAGGGTAAACAGTAAACATCAGTGACAGAGCGTCACAGCACGATAACAGAACCACACGTTCTGTTCATCACCGCGTTATCTTTATGACTTCCTCTCTAACACAAACAGAGGGAATATACACACCTGTGGAATTTTACAACGGCCTATCAGAGAGCGGCCTGATCAAAACACCCACTGACATCATTTCACAATATTTTGAAGTGACTACTTGTTCTAGTTTGGACTCTGGAAAAATCACCTGTGCATTGAAAAGCAATAAATTATACTACATTATTACATCATTGCAACATATTGGCCTCACAAAAAGAGTTTCTCTAACACATGCAGGTGTTCCTTGAAGTCAAACCTCAAGGTTTAGAGGACTAAAGAAATCCAGCGCTGTGAGAGGATCTTTAATCATCATGTGGCCCTTCAGAATAACTACATTTTACAGAGTGAAGGGGGTTTTGTTTGAAGGTCAAAAGTTAACCGTTTACCTAATCCTAATAGACATGATGAATTTCTGGTATGCAGTTTAAATAAATAAAAACCAGCTAGTTAGGATCCCAGACTGAAACCACCAGAGGCCATTTAGTGACCGTTTACCCAACAGAAGGCTGAACTCACACCCAGCACAGAGCTGACATTATGAAGATCATTCTGGAATATCAAACACACGTTTGCTCGTTTTTTTTAAGCATCACGGTATCCTTTTAATGCTTGAACCTGCTCTCCACTCTGTCTCACCTCTGTCCGTCCACCGTGCACACAGAGATGGCCCACAGGTCGGGGCTGAATTTGGCGAGCTGAGGAATGTAGTCAGCGACCTGAAAGAGAGGAGAGGCAGCTGAAAGAGAGTCGCCTTACACCGCTGACGTCTGCTGAGGCTCAGGCTTCAAGGGAAAGCTAACACTGCTGACAATACACAGAAGTCAAATCAGAGGAATAATCCACACACAGATACTGGAATAAAAAGCTTCTGTTTACTTTGTGCCTCTCATCTTTTTCAATTACAACAATTACAGTATGGTGCTTCTCAAAATGTCCAGGTTGCTTTTAAGTTTATTTTCTTCAGTGAATCCACACTAAAGCTGACTGAATTTTTTTTTTAAAATCTGTCTCTCCTTTAACTCTGAATTCAACATTTTGAAAGATACTCTGCAGAGTAACTCAATCTTTAGGTGTCATTGAAGTATTTTGTAAATGCTAAGAGGTAAAGCACTTGTAAAATGATGACGTGCTTGGGGCCTATGTGACAGTTTAGACATGCCTGCACTCATTGAACTGATAATATACTGTACAACCGCTCAGTTCAGTGGACGGCTGTTCTGTCTGAGGTTTCTGTCTCTTATAGGAAGTTTTTTCTTCCCACTTTAACTTTAAATGTTGCTTAGTGGTCATAGTGGATTAATGTTGGGTCTTGGTAGACAATATAACAAAGAGTAAGGTCTTTAACCTGCTCAACAGATTTGTGTTCTCATTGGCTGCAGCTGTAATGCTGTTGACCTGGTTGTTATAAAAAAAAGCTTTTTTTCCTCAAGCTACTGGAGGGAATCACAGTGATGCTAAGCTTTCTAGGAGGCTCTCTTTGCACTTGTCCTCAGAAAATTTAATGCTTTAAGATGCCATTATTTAAAAACTTTACAATCTCTATTATATTAATGATTGACAGAATCAGAAATCTTTTAAGTTTCAACAAACACCACGAACGTTACTGTGAAAGAAAAGGACAGAGCACTTTGTCTAAACTGCACACATAAAACGGCAACATTGTGCAAAGGGTTTTCTACAATTAAAATCAAGACATTACCTGATCTTGGGTGCCCGGAACTTCTATTTTTTTCGCCTTAGAATCAAAACAAAGATCGATTTAACTAGCATTGTAGTTGTGTTTAAAAAACCTGGTATCATGACAGCCCTAACTTAGTGTGCTGTGTAGACTTCTGATCGTATCCTATTCGCTAACACTGTTTTGTACAGCAGTGGAGATATTTCAAGTCTTCAAAGCAGGAAAAACACCCGTAAAGAATAATATAGCCAATGGTTCTTGTTTCATCAAGTTTTCATGTAAGCCATTTAATTGGTGGAGCGTGCAAAAATTCAGAGCACAGGATCTGGCTCAGCAAAATCTAATACAGCAAACATTAACTCCGCCATATCGCCAGTGCTGTCCCTCTTCAAAGTGTCTATAGGGGCTTCTTTTCTGTGGCTAATGTCAGTTCTGTTGGCCTTGGGACGACGTCCACATTACACCAAGAGTTAGAGTTAGATTTCAGAAATATGAGTGTTTTCATTGTTAGAGGTTAATATAATCTGGGAACCAGGATCACGATTTCACTATTTCTGACTATGTTGTTCTCTTTTTTTATTGTCTGCACATTTTAGCAGCTGCCAAATGAAACAACACGATACGGCAAACATAGCCTGCACTGATATCTGCTGGGGACACTGCTACGATCCTTCAACATGACCCTGAGGTGGATTTTCCTATCAAGTCTATCAGACCAGAGTGATGCTGGCTTCCATTCTGTCTCAAAGACAGATCTACCAAACAAATGCAGATACAAAAACCCAGCCTGTTGGCACAGTCTGATGGTAACATATCTGTGTGGGTCAAAATAATGATATTGCAAAAAAAAAAAAAACAGTCATGGACTTAAGGACACACCTGCCCTTCAGAGAGATTTTTGGCACCCTCATATAGCTCATCAATGTGGGTGGAGAAGGACTGGAAGTCTGGGATGACGAACTTCTTGCGGAAGGCCTGAGTGAGCAGGACAATGTTGCTCTGGACACACCTGATGAATAAACCACAGATAGCATGCTAAAACATTGTGACTGCATGCAGCTGAAGAAAAGTTTGTCAACCAAGTTTGCAACTGTGAAGTGTGACAAACTTCTTTCGAATGTTAATTTAAAAGTTGCTGATGAGGAATTTTCATCATAACTTATTGATCAGCTGCTTTTCGATCCAAACAGTGTGATCCGACATGAATCCGTAAGTGGTTAATGATCATTTTCAAACTGCAGACTGAAGGAAATGACAGAGTGTCTGTGATGTCTTAGGGTTTCAGTGAAATGTTTTACTCATAGGACAATACCTTTCCAGATTTGCCCCACGGTCAAGAGGAAATGAAACTAAACACTGAGAGATTAACTTTCTGTCGACAAAACTCTCATATTTTTTATTATTGTGAAGAAAGCAAAGAAGTTGCTCTGAGGGTAATATAGGGTTTTCTTTACTGTATCTGATAACTGATACAGACTCTGACCTGAATGTTAACAGTCATCATAGGATCAAATGTACTGTATCCTACTACAACCATACAAATAATCTTTCTTTTTCAATGCAATTTTGTATTTTTTTCTTGCCTTGGGTGTGTTTTTTTTTTAATCAGAAGATTACAATTTTATAACTTTTTATATTTCTTCTTATATTATAAAGAACGATTTTCGGGCTTTTGTCTTGATTTAGATTAGACAGGGATAGAGCTGAAAATCGAGGAGGGAGAGTGGGGAATGACATGCAGGGAAGGAGCCAGGGTCGGATTTGAACCCGGGCAACTCGCTTAGAGGTCCATCGCCTCGTCACACGGGGCACCACATAACGGCTCAGCCTTCAGCGCCCCTTACAGTTTGGTTTTAATAAAAAATCTGTTGGCAGACTATTATTCTGATTCCAGCAGTGACTCTTTATCAAATATTTGGATACAGAACTACATTACTTCTGGTTTAAAAAAAAAAAAAAAAAAAGAGAAGGATCTCATGTACAGATGGAACATATTTTTTTGCATTAATGCAATATGCAAATTTAAACAATCAAGTTAGTTTGAATTTGCAGTGAAAAATATGGTCATCAAGATGTAGAAAATGCTGTTCGAGGCAGAAAATACCACAAAGGTTCTTGGGAAATAAACGTAATGAAAAGCAGCACTATGATTGGTGTAGATGACGCAGATATATAAGAGAAGAAGAAATGGCGATCCTTACTTCTTGAAAAGATGTCTGTCCAGCGTGACGCCATCTGTTGTGTTCTTTAGAGTCTCTTTAAGTGTGTCCATGCACTCCTTCAGCCTGGGGTCTCCTGTGCGCAGCCCAGTAGTTTTAAGCGCCTTAAAGAAACAATAGAAACATTTGAGTAGAAACAGACAACTTGGTGATAACGCACTGCCAACAACAGAACAAACCATGAAGCCAAACTGAAGAAGAAGAACTTACCGTGAGGAATTTATGAACAGGAATCGTCTCTTGACCTTCAGCGACTGCGTAGAAGAGCAAGTCCTCCAAACTCGGGAGAATTCCTGCTCTTCTCCTGTATGAGACACAAATACACATTTATGAGACACAGCACTTCAAATCATATGAAGGTACCCGAAAAAGAAAACTTTGGTGGAACTTTTCTAGAGTTCATATTTTAAGAAAAGCAAGGGGAAAAATCAGTGCATATGTTGCTTTTGCGTGGTTCATTAATTTGTCATAGGATTGCCCTTTAGTGCGAGCCTATTCCCACCTGTACTTCCAGTCTAAACACATAGCTTATCCAAAGCTGTTCATACAGTCTTAACACATTAAGTGAGGGATTTGAAGAACGCTTACTCAAAGCTTGCAATCAAAGTGTCAGCAATAAGCCACAGATATGTGTGTCAGTTTGTAGAACAGAGTGATCAAGCCTCTGCTGAATGGAACACATTTTTTCTACATGTTTCTCGTTGGCAGCGCTCCCTGATGACTAACTTTATTCTATGTGTTTACATAGGATCACATTGGCTATTGCCATAGTAACAGTTATTCTCCCCGGGGTCCATAAGTCATGTCCTACAGCTAAGAAATCAAGAGGCACGTACACCAAAACGGAGCATTCTGAGAGAACTGGTTTATACGGGGTCACAAACGTCCTCTGGTGCTTGATTTATGTTATATTTTGAACAAAGCACAGCACATGTTTCATTTAGGAAAAGGTGGAAAAGGGCTATAATATGTCCTCTTTAAACATTCGCTACAATAGCCGCCATAGCACTAATCTTCTAATGTTTCCCCTCTAAAATTGAGATCAGTACCGCTCACAAAAACCCCTCCATCATGCTAATAGTGTCTGAAGCAGTGTTTGACTGGGTCTAAATTCCAGGAATTCTCCTGTCTATAGCCGCCTGCCAGGCCCACTGTGGCTCTTGGATTAATAAAGCCAACATTGTGGTGTGTTCACACGCTGGTCATGACACAGCAGCATGGTCTGCAGTGGTTTAAATGATTCAAAGTGGTCTAACATCGTGCTCCAGTATGCTGTGTCCCAAGGTCAGGCATGCCATTAAAGAGGCAATAATGCTATTCAATGTTCCCTTTAATTCAAAGAAGTAAATTCTATGATAAGCCAAATGTGTCCTCGGAAGTTAATTGTAAAACCGAAGCTTAAGTTTTGCACAGAACAGATGCTTTTGCTCTGTCACTGAGGCGTTGGATGTTTAAGTGCACACTGTCTACATCAGCATTTGGAATTCCAGTATTCAGTCTGACCCTCCTCCCTGCCTTTATCTCATCTCCTTTTGTCACATCTTCTGCTCTGCACAGTGTAAACACTCCGCATACAGCCCAGGTAACTGCGCCGGAACATGTGCAAACAAACCAGGATTGACTAAAATGCTGCCTGTCAGGCGCGTATAATTCAAAGGGAGTGTTATTGACCTGACATCTGTCACTACAAGGGCTCGTCCATACAGCAGTGAACCGGTGCAGCACGCTGTCAGGAGGCAACAAGCTAAGTACAGTTGATAAATTACATATTTTTTTGTGAAGAAGATTCCATACGTCAAAACCGTACACGTATCTCTGCGAAACCATACTTAACTAGTGTTTTAGGATGCAACTGGGACTGAGAATATGTCCAAACTTGTGAAAAGCTCATTAACCACCAACACTCTCTTTAGTGGGGGAAGTGTGTTTGTGTATCAGGCGTGTTCTGCTGTGAAACGCTCAAGGGCCCACATGGCCGTTAGCTTGTGCAGCTAGCGCACAAAACATGAAGGTAACTGAGGAGGTACTTCTCTGATTAAAGGCACACTTCACCAATTTTACACATCAAGACAAACTTATTGATCATCAGGAAAGTCCCACCCAGGCTGTGAAAGCAGCTGGATAGTGTCAGTGTTTATTATCGCAGTATAAAGACAATTGACCTTTCAATAAAAGCTGAATTTACAAAGAGAGGGAGGGGAATTTAATATGCATTGCCATTTAAAGTACTAAGCAAAACTAAGGAAAAATGCTTTACTGGGGCAGGATTCAGTGTGTTGCAGACTGATTCAAACTTTTGGAATAAAATCTGAATATCTCCACCTCAGCAGCATTCTGAAACATGTTTTTAAACATCTGCCTCCTGGACATGCCCTACCTCCCAGATGTGATCACTGGGATGCTTATTTAAGGCTCTCATTGATTTTTTTTTATGTATCCATAGATATGTAACTACAGAGCATGCAGCATTTGTCGTGTTGTACTTTTTAAATACTTTCCTGAGTGCCATTCATGAATTTAAAAAATGGCGAGACGGCTGCTGCCGACAGGCTGGTCTTGTGTTTTGGCTGCTACGGCCGCTGGGGCCAGCGCTGGCCCCTGGCTGCTGCTTGAGGAAACGGCCTCATGTGTTGAAGAAAATATGTCTGTAAATGTTTTTATTACTATATTTCTACTGTATATTTATATTTTGGAGAAACTGTAACGATGGAATTTCCCTCTGGGATTAATAAAGTATTTCTGATTCTGAAATAGAGGACCTTAGTGGGAGTGGCCTGCGGTGCTGTGCATTCTGGGATTTGGTGTCTTCCATCCACATTAACCAAAAGGACACTTTCTGCCTTTTCACAGCCAAGAAGGCACCAACTTCAAAATGTATTTCACATTTCTACTACATATATGACCCAATGTCAATACAGACTCATGTTTCAACGGGTGAAGTAGCCCTTTAACTTGGTAGTATTTTCTTGTGCCAAATAACCATGTGGAATTAAATCAGCGTTGGGCAATTCAATGAGTCTCGATTTCAACGATAAGTTTGGCGTTCCTGGATCATGAAAGCGAGATAATCTGGTAGCTGGAGAGGTGCCAGTTCACTTCCTGAGCACTGCAGAGGGCCCCTTGAGCAAGACACCGACTTGACATAATCCAAGCAGCTCTAAATTAAATAAAATCGAGGTGCGTCTGTTCCATGTTCTCAGAAGTCACCAGCCGGTGTGAAGTGAACTAAATAAGCAATACAACAGAGTGTGTTTAAACTGGGTAAACAGATCTGTGGACTACAGTCAACACTTTCATTTTCTACCTTTCTCCTGCTCACAGACAGATGGCTCAGTCCATTTGTGTTAGTGAGGCTGCTCAGGGATGTAAGCAGAACACTTTGAGAGTTTCCTGGAAACAGGGTTTACACTATGGGCTGTGGTGCGTCCTTTTTTTTGCATTGGAGGAGTAACAGCCCTGTGGAATTACTGTAACGTATTACCGGCCAGTGTTTTTCATTATTATTCAGTCATGTTATTCATACTGCAGTCATATAAGTACATGTCAATTAACCTCTCATTCCAGTGGTCTAGCTATTTCAAAACAGGCTGTATCGAAATAATCTAGCAGTATGATAAATGTCAAGATGATGGGGTTTAAAATACACTGTTTAAATTAAAGGACTATTATAAAGGACTATTAAAAGGTCACATATTATGGGAAATAAACTTTTGCATGTTTTTCTTCCACTAATATTTGTCCTAGCGTGTCTCCAAACCCCCCAATTATGAGACAACTCCATCCTCTCCATCTTTTGATTTTGATCTGGATCTAAAGCGAGGGACATCTTTCACTTTTTATTTCCCCTTTTCTGTTCTGCAATGTGTAACACCACAGTAATTCATCCATTTCTCATATCTCAATCACAGTTACCTCCTCAAACTAAAGCTGTAAGTGATTCCACAGATTATTACTGGTGTGTGGCCGTGATCCAAAGAAGCACTTCCGAGTATAAAGCATTTTGTGGGAGGCCTTCTTCAAGCAGTAGCGAGACCTCTGGTTTGTCCTTTCCTTCTTCATTCGCTGCTTAAAGCTTTAAGCTCAGTCTACAGTTTGTCACAAATGTAATCATTGTGCTCAATTCTATACCGATTATCCGAGTAGACGTGAGAGTGACTGTTTTTTGGGATGTAATTCATAAACCACATTCCCTGTAGAGGTCTATCTTGTGAGTCATCGTCATCAAGCTGGTCAACAAGCCATTCTCATCACGTGCTGGTGACTCATAAAGTATGAATCACAGGACTTGCCCCCAACTATCGAGAACAACTGTATTCATCCCTCCAACTGGAAAAAGGCATTGCTATTTTCAACATTTCAAAAGTTCATGTTTGCACTGCAATAAATCAAGGGCCTCATGACGAGTCACGGCTGCACGGCAGGATCAGACTGGAGCAGCATTCCCACTCTAAATATGTGCTGGGAGAGCTTGACGGTCCATTACTTGCAGCTTCTCCTGTTAAAACTGCTAAAAGTTCAACAGGTTTTGGTGCAAGCTCCTTTCCTGTGTCGCAATCTGGGGGCGATCCTATTTTTATTCCAGATCAAAAACTCCATATGACATAATAGTTGTCAGTGAATATTTCACAACTAAAACTTGTATTGTTGAGTCTGGACAAACAGCACACATTGTTGCTCTTAGCTTTCTTTAAATATTGTTGTCCTGGTCCAATACAAATGCAATCATTGTATTACTTTTGTTTTAGTCATCCTTGTTGTAATGTGACAACACTGCTGCTTGACACATCACAGTTAAGGTATCTGCAGACAATTTGAATTTGGTATCACCACTGCTTGAGAAGTTTGGAGATTTAGTTCAAGAAGCCCGACCTCGAAGCTGTGAGAAAAGGGTCAGAAGTAAAGCGTCTGACCCCGAGAGGACTCTGATTATAAAGAGAACACGATCACACGCCTCGCGTAGAGGGAAAATGTTGAGTACAGTATGCTGTAAGCTCCATGAAAAGGATAAATGTGGTGACATGAAAAATACAAATGCTCTGACGCTAGCAAAGCTACCTCACTGACTCTTTGGCTTGTTGTATTCAAATTCAGCTGAATTCGTCTTGTCATCTGGGAGTGATTTTGTTTACAGTCTGAAGGGGGGGGGGGGGGCGTGACAGAAGACTTTTTCCAGAATCACTTCATTACAGACTGACTGTCAGATAATGACTGAGGGTGTGTTAAAGTTGATCAAGATCGTTGAAATAAAACCGTGATAAATAAGACAACCTTTGTTTCTGTAAACGTCACTTTTCTTTCCATGCATGCAGTAATAATTTAGAAACGTTTATTTGAAATGTTTCATTCTAAGCAGCAGAGGGGACAAAGATGAACGTACAAAGGAACAGAAAATAATAATAACAAACAGTGGAAAGCATGTAGCAGAGGTCATTCTCAAGACACTTAAAGCTAAATTTGATTAACATGTCCGGAAAGTAGAGGGAAGTAGTAAAAACCTCCACCCTCCCATTGTTACTTAACCATCTGTCCAGCTTTATCTATAAAAGCTACTGGGCAAGAGTTCTTAAGAGTGCTTAAGATAAGAAGAAGTCATAATGACATAAATGTACTTGTTTATCTGGGCGAAGGACTTCAAATCAGACAATGTTAGAAACATGCTTCAGAGATTTCCTGGAATTAAAGATTGCATCTCAGAATTAAACTACAGCAGCGTAACTTAGTGTCAACACTTTGTGTATGCGACCTTCTACATTAATGAACACCGTGTTGTGTTGTACGTGTCATTGAGTTGACACATTTTAAAATGCATGTTTATAATAGTTGGCCCACTGAGTAGGCCTAGATAAAAGACACACACAGGTCACAAGTGGATTTCCCCTTTCTCTACCAGGCTGCTGCAGCACAGGCATCAGGGTCAGTATCCTGGAGCTGCCACATCAAAATGAGAAGCGAGTGGGAGGCCATAGAAACCACCAGAAGATGTCATACAACCCAGTTTACACGCACTGATCTCCTAACAGACAGCCTTCATTACTCAATAATGATTACAACCAACCAAACAAAACACAGAGAAACAGATATCCTAAGGATTTTGTTCCAAAGTAGGCCCTGTTGCATCACTTTCAATTAGCTGTGATTTCCATTAGCATCAGTGTCTACCAAGAAAGCCTGGAGTGTGTAAACTAGCTCACAGACTTGTTTGAGTGCTTTTGTTCTCAATGTCATCCCTGAGCCAGGCCTGCTCTGTTTCCACTGCTTAACTTTCACAAGTGCCACCACATGCTGCGTAGTAGCCCATATCGAGAGAAACAGACAGTAAAAACTAATGTTAAACAAAGCCGGCAAATGCCTGCTGAAAACATCTTATTAAGTTTGGTTCAGTTAAAACTTAGAAGTAGCTCAAAGAAGGTTTATAAAGTTAACAAGACAAAAGCCACGGGATGCTGCACCGGCTCACACATGGTTTCCTGCTAATAGACCATTAGTTAGCTGTGGCTATGTTGTCATATACCATATCTTTAAATACATTTTTTTTGGAGGACTTTATTTATCTGTAGGTGTTTAATTCGTGACTTAAATCCCCGAAGTTAAGTTATTACTCAGAGCTTCTGTATGTTATGCGTTGTAATACAGCGTTTGTGACGGATGGGGGAGAACGCTACATCCGCTTGCGGCTACATGCGTCACACCGCCTGCCTCACCTTCATACCGTGGAGCCAGACAGTTTATTGAACGAGAAAAAAAAACTTGAAACCTACTTGTCGCTGCCTGTTTCCGTGCTGACGCCATCCTTCTTCAGCTGTTGGTCTAGCTCAACGGCACCTTCAGTTTTCGCGCAGTACGAGCGGAACGGCGCGGCACAGGGCGCGGCGCGGAGAGCGGGGCGGCGCGCGGCAGCGGCATGGAAGATCTTCAGTTGCGTAGACGGAGATCTGGCGTCAACGGAGGCGGTGCCGAAGCAGCGGCGGCGGGTCGGCAACCAGGTCTTCTGTCTAGAGCTGGACAAGGGACGCTTGAGGGTGGCTTCAAACAGCTTCAGCACTGTCGAGGACCTAAACTGTAACATCTCAATCCTGTCAATCCAATAAGAGATAAAGCCGTAGCTCCAAATGAATCCGGTAGAAGCTGAAGGTGAGTGAAGGATTTTCTCGAAACACGTTGACTGTCTGAGCGCCGATGACTCACGGATGCCGGCGTCCTAAAATAAATAGAGGCGCATCACACGCCCCGTCGCTGCTATTGGTGGAGATGAGATGAGGTCCGCCTCCGAAGATCATTTATGGCATCCTATTGGATCATCATCGTGTCTATCAAAACCTGTCACGGTTGCGTTTTTACACAGTAGGAAAATTGAACCTCCTAGCCCAGACTTTTGTAGCCTGTTACAATGTCATTGATATGGTCTATATTAATGACTGCTACACCCTTTATTTTAAATTATTATGATGGTTATATACCTTAATACAACATGACATTACTTCCACATCAATGCCTCCCTTTTTGTTTGTCATATTGTACCAACACACAGTTAAACATTTTTAACTTTTAGATTTATACATTATTCACCCTGTTATGTCATAGCAGCAGGTTAGACAGGCAATAAATATATTTTAATATAAATATACAATATTGTAACGATATTAAAATCTATACAATGTCTAGGGGCATTTACATTAGAAGAATATCCAAGATATACATTAAAAATATAAATGATTGCTGTTCATTGTGCCATCACTAGTGCCATTATTAAAAACCATAGACAAAATGAAACCTACACATACAAAGGCACAAACACACATACCACTTATGTTAAACTCATACACACACGCACACTATAAAACAATACATTACAATTGTTTGTTTTTTTTGCTTAATTTGTTTTTGTGTTGCAAAATATTTGAGATTTTTTAAAATATATATAAATATACCTGATTATTACTCTAGTTAAAACACCATTATTGCAAGTTATTATTGTTACTATTGAATTGTTAATTATTATTTTTCATCATTATTATTATTGTATTAGCCTATTTGTTATTATATGCTTTTGCAATATGTTTACACATTCATGCCAACAAAGCTTATTGAATTGAATTGAAACAATCACGCTTTAATTAATGTATTTTAATAGTAATATCCGTGTATCAAATGTTACATACAAGTAGGCTACCTCGTGTCCACCTGGCAATATATTGTGCTAATAATGAAGTTATGTTGGGGGAATAAAACAGGCACATAAAACCATAATATTTGGGCCATGGGAGTACCAGGAGCTGCTCCTAGTTTTATACACTGGGTGGGTTGATAGAAACTCATAGCCATATTTAAATCAGAATGAAATCTGTTAACCAATAATAACAAACTATTTTACATATTTAGTATAATAAACTTGAAAATACTTTAAATTGTAATTTATATTTTTCAGTTGTCTTCACCTCTATATGCACTTATAGCAGAAACTTGGAAACGTTTTGTTCAACAACTCTTTTATGTTTTCATAAATAATAATAGGCCTATATTGTGTTTCAAACCATGTATGCATCTTCCACTGACAGTTGTTCAATTATTTAACACTAGAACGACCGGCATTCTATCACTACTAGAAAGGCCATAGCGGTCATTTTGACTGTTTACAAATTTTTGCATATCATTTCAATAATCAATATCAAATATGAGAATAAATGGATCTGTAATGTTGTGAAAGGTATAATAAACTTCAGGACACAAACATTAAATTCTAATGAATTTGAAATTTGAATAGTTTATCGAAAACAGCAGCCGGTGTTTTTTGCGAATGGAAATGATCTCTGTATCATTCTCAGGTTCAATCTCAGAGCCAGTGTCAGATGAAGTTTTGAGAGACCAGGAGACATCACTTTCCGTATCCAAACCTGCGCCTCCATCAGACTCTGCCTCATCAAGGCTCTGGAGCATGGCTAAAGCCTCTGTGGCAGCAATCCTCCTCCTTCCTGACATTTCGCTCTATTCTGTTCTAAATCAGATCCTTTGTTTCAGCTTCAACTGACACTGACTATTGATTAAATATTGAATTAGAAATGATGATTAGGGCCTACTAGGAAATATGGCCATAGTATAAATAGTATAATATACAGTATTTGAAAATGTATAAAAGGAAACCTTAGTGAGACTGTCAGAATGGACCTGAAGCATGTTTTTTTGTTTTTTAACTGCTTTAACACATAAAGCTGCTGCCATACATCCTGAATTCATGTACTTAAAGTAATTCCAGAACTTATTTTTAATCATACTAGTTCTACTTCATACTTTTACTTTACTTCTTTGTATATGAAGAATATTTAGAAAGGATTGTCCATATGATAATGTTCACTGTTCAGCTGGAGCTGCTTTTGTTCTAATGTTGTTTTTTCCCTTTACGGAATCCTTGTGGCAGTTTCAGTCTGGAAGGAGAAATCAGAGGGAGGTGCAGGTCCAGGGACCCAGTTTCCCTCAGAGGACAGGTTGTTTATTCAGCTATGAAACTATAACATCATTTTTTTCACTTCTGTTTAAAATGTATCTACCAAAACTCTTTTATGCACTTTATATACATTGGAAATGGCCTTTGCTAAATGCCTTAATGTAAATATGTGTGCCTATTCAACCTTTGTGTTCTTAATGTGTATTGTCTTTGTTTTTGTCACAGTTTCAATAAAGACAGATGTGGTTTGAGAAGACAGTTTGAAGTTTTATTATTTGTCTTAACATTTTAAGTTGCAATTTTAAAGGTAATGTTTATTGTTTTATAACATGAAATGCAAGGATTAATTTATCACATCACTAGGTGATAAATGGTGTGTCCATTTTGATAGAAGGAAATGAATCTATAGCTAGGTGTAGTATTTATAATTCACAGTAAAAATCTGCAAATATACCTCTTGTGAAGAATTGTAAATAAACTGTATCAAACAGTTAATTCTTTCGACAGTATTTTCCTTTTATATCTTTAAAATCACAGCTATTTGCTGTATTTACAAAAACGGTAGAAAACTGTAAATATCAGCAACAGCAATATACCGTTAATTTTACAGTAACTTCCTGGCAACCCTGCTGCCAGTTGTTTACCGTTTTTTAACAGGGGGAATTTCTAAGAGTGCGGTGTTTAAAATGTTGCTGTCTGTGTTTTCTGCTCTCTCTCAGTTTTTAAAAGTTACTATCAAGCTTCTCCACCTGAAGCTCACCTGTTGTGATAACTGAACTTATAAGGATTACACTAAACAACGTTACAAAGCAGCAGGCAGGTGAGAGTGAGTAACCATGGTGACTGTCTGTCTGTCAATCAATAATGTCCCGCTCCCTCTATGAATTAAACTCTTCTGTCAGTAAAACTTACTTTGATCATGTGTCACAGAATGAACACATCCTGTATTATGTTTGATTATGAACAAAACTAAAGTTAGTCCAATGATGTCATAAAAAAACAACAAAGGCTGCAGAGCCGATATGAAGCTACAGCTGGAGGAACTCTGCAGGGATAAAATAGAACAGAAACACAAGAACTTGAAGTCTACATGTTTTTAAATTAATGCATCACTGTGTGAAAATGTTCCTGATGAACATAAAAAGAGGACACATAACTAAATCATCATTTCAAAGTGGTGAGGAAAACCTTCAAATTGTTCATAAATATTGATCAAATTGAGGGAAAGACATTTCTGTTGCTAAAGATGTTCTGGGTGAGACCTCCAGACCTCCTACAAAGATGTTTTTCAAATAGATTAAACTCGTCGGCACAGTTTTTGTGCATTTAAAAACATTATACAGGGAAATAAGTTTGGTTGAGCTGGTCAGCAACTTACAAATTTGTCTAAACAGTATGAAAAATGAAAAAAATTATGATAAAATCGTGATATGATATTTTTCCCTTATCGCCCACCTCTACCTTCAAGAGCAGGAAAAAGTAGCGAATACTGAAATGATACACTGGCTATAATGAATGCAGTCAATATGACCGCTATGAAATACTCAAAACTCTTTTGTGTTTTGTGTTTTTGATAAAATAACAATGCTAGAATAAAATATAGACACATTTAGGAAAAGTCATGGTCCTGTAGTTACACAGGTTTTATTTTAAGTAAGTTACTACATTGCAAAATTAAAAAACAGTCAAAATGACTGCCTTGGTCTTTCTAGTGTTAATCCATACATGCCTCCAGTTTTAGCTATAGTTTTCGGAAGGAGTTTGAGCACTTTTGCCCTAAACTTAGTCTGTCAGGCAGATTGTGCGTACCGCCTCCAGAAAGCTCCTCTAGACCAATGAATGATGTCAAGGGAGGGCCTCGACCGTGTCTTGGGTCCAAAGCAGACTGTAAATGGTGGGCCCGATATTGTGAAGTAGGCGTGTTTTTTTTTTTTTTCTGCACATGAATAAGAGAAATCCCTGACAGTCTTTGTTCAGGCGCACAAATGAAACAGCGTCTCCACGTCGTCCGCCGTGTTGTTCAAACGTCACTTTTCAGAAGTTGCCACGAATGCAGAGCGGAATGATGTGGAAGTTAGCAAGCTGCACACTGTGCCTCTTTGTCTCCTCACAGATCACTTTATGGTCTGTTTCGGCTGCTGCGGATGATTCGGACGGAGAGGTCAAGATTGAAGTTTTATTCAAGCCCGAGCAGTGCGACCCAAAGAGCAAGAGAGGAGACCTGATAAACGCGCACTATGACGGCTACCTCGCCAAAGGAGGGACTCAGTTCTACTGCAGGTCGGTGCTTTGTCAGGGAAATGAGCTGTTAGATGAATGTATCTTTACAAGGTTCTTAATGCTTTGAAAGTCTTTATGCAAAATGTTCAGAAAACGTTTGACTATTTTATTATGTAGTCGAAGTGAGTGGCTCACTGGAGGCTTCACTTTGCATGCCAACTTATAGGCTCAGTATTATTTATGTATGTGTAAAGTAAGCCTATAAACCCTGAATTCAGTGTTACTTACAGTTAATTATTACGTGATACTGACACTAAATATTGGGCATTAAAGTTCATCCTCCTTATATCAGCAGTCTACACCTGAATCCATGGGGCATTCAGGGACTGCAGGAATATTTCCGGGAGTGAAGAAAGGCGCTGGGTTACTCACACTGAAAGATTTGTCCGTATGTCTTAGGATTCAGTAAGAGGTTTATGTTCCTCCTTGTGTGTTCATTTCTTTTTTGTGTTGTTTTTGTTGTAGTCGGTCGGACA